GGCAAGACCTGCTAGTCTATTTATATAGTTTAAAATAAAACTATACATTTTCATTGTAAAAATAAAATTCTTAATTTTTATAAATTACTTATAACAATTATCTATATTCAAAGATTAATTAATCTCCTTAACATCTTCAATGTCACACTCTATATTTAAGCTATTTAGATAATAAACAAGAAAGGAATGCTAAAGTCGAGCAGGCTCAACTCTTAAATACCCTGTACCACCCCACAAAAAAGTAATTAAATTAATTTAATTAAATTAATTAATTAATTTAATTTAACTAAATTAATTTAATTAATTAACCAAATTAAATATAAAATATTCCATGCATGCATAGATACATTTACATTTACATCAGAATCCTGCCTTATGCGTGTTTGTGTACTTGTACATATGTATGTATGTGTGCATTGGGCCTGGTTATATGGCTATAACTTTCTTTTTGATCATTCTATCATAATGAAACTTGGTATACGGATATATAATTACTAACCTAATGTGACTACCAAATTTAAGTTTAAAATTCCAAGAATTATGGGAGTTATAGAAAATTGGTAATAGGGGGGGAGTGGGGGGTTGGATCAGAAAAAATGAACAAACTTGTCCTTTCTCGGTCTCAGGAGAATCTGTATACCAAGTTTGGTTATTCTAGCTCTTATACTTTCGGAGATCCTTGCGTTCATACAGACAGACAGACGGACAGACAGACGGACAGACAGACGGACAGACGGTCAGACGGACAGACGGACATGGCTATATCGACTCGGCTTGTCATGCTGATCAAGAATATATATACTTTGTGGGGTCTACCAAGCCTCCTTCTGTGTGTTCCATGTGCACTCGCACAAAACTAATATACCCTTGTACCCTTTGGGTACAGGGTATAAAAAAAAATATAAAAATTATATAAAATTAAAATTCAAAAAACAAATAATAATAAATAAATTTTTAAACTACTATTCTGTATAATAAATAAAATTTGTGAATATTGTACTAATTTTTGATAAATCCCAGCATTATAAGACTTAATATTTTGAAAATAAATTACTAAACAATAAGAAACTAAACCTAATCCATCCCACCCCAATAAAATACTTATTAAATTAGGACTAATAATTAATAATATTATTGAGATAACAAATATTAAAACTAATATAATAAAACGGTTAATATTTTCATCTCTTATATATTCTTTTCTATAAAAAATAACTAATGAAGCAATTATCAATACAAAAGATATAAACAATAAACTTATCCAATCAAATTAAAAAGTTATAACAATATAACAATATTTATCGAATTTAAAGAAACTTCTCATTCAATAAAATAAACTAAATCATTTAATAAAAAATTTATTGCCAAAAAAAAAATGAAAATCTAATAAAAATTGGATTACCAAATCTAATTCTACAAATTGATAAATATTTCCCGATCTAAAATGAATTATTTCATATCACTAACACCACAAATTAGTATTTTTATTAAACAATTTAAATATAACCATAAAGTACAAAAATCTCTTCTCATAATTAATAAATTTAAAGGTAATGAATGTAATAAAACTAATAAATACTCTCGAATTATACCCCCTCTAAATGAATAAACCCCAGAAAACTTTTTTCCATGTTGTCTAAAAGAATATAAATATAGTATACGCAGCTCTAAAAAAAGATTAAAAAGACAATATAAATATTGAAACTCATGATCTCACAATTCTATTTAATAATGAAATTTCTCCTAACAAATGTAAGGTAGGAGGAGCAGCTATATTAGAAGATCTCAACAAAAATCACCATAAAGTTATTGAAGGCATACAATTTAATAACCCCTTATTGATTAATAATCTACGACTTCCCAACCGTTCATAAGAAATATTGGCTAAACAAAAAAACCCCAGAAGAACATAAACCATGAGCAATTATTAAAGTGTAAGAACCACACAATCCTCAATATCTTATTGTTAATAGCCCAGCTAAAACAATTCCTATATGAGCAACAGAAGAATAAGCAATTAAAGCCTTTAAATCAGTTTGACGTAAACAAACTAATCTCACTAATGCTCCTCCTACTAATCTAATACTAATTCAAATAAATCTATATTTTAAATTTAATAACTGCAAAAAAGAAATAACCCGTTATAAACCATATCCTCCTAATTTCAATATAATCCCAGCTAAAATTATAGACCCTGAAACAGGGGCTTCTATATGAGCTTTAGGCAATCATAAATGAACTAAAAATATAGGTATTGTTTGGGCATTTCATGCCTTTATACTTAAGTATAGATTTAAGTTTGTTGTAAATATTTGAATTGTAGATATAAGTCACTTGAATTATAGATTTAAGTTGTTATAATAATAATTGTAATTTAATGTAACAGCTGTTTATATTCTCTTGCTCTCGCTGTTAACATAAGATCCACAACATTTGTTATGCAAATGCTAAGCCTTGCACGGCTAGCAATAAACACTTGGAAATTTGAAATTGATTTGTGTGGTTGCTTTATTTCGCTGTTCCTGTGGTTCTCGGTGCGTCAGCTGTGCATTTGTTGTATAAGTCCACAAGCGACTTATATACAGTTCTCATTGGATCGTCGCGACGAGGGACCATTTATACTTTTGCATACCGGCAATATTGCATGATCTGAGCGATCATTTTGGCGCCCCCGGGTGGACTTTTCGTTGTGACGTGTTGGACACTGGACATTGGGTCTGGAGTTATTGCTGCCATCTGGTTGTGCAGCAACGAGTGGTCTAGATATTTGGTTTAGAACTCTCCTTATTTACGCTAGCTGGCGATGCAGTGCCCACTTCCCCAGGGAAGTTATACACAGGTAACGAGTGCAAGTTAAATAGCGGCCAAATCTGTCTGATTGGACTTGGCACATACATATGTATGTACATCCATATGTTAATTGTCTACAAAGGCATATATATGTATGTGAGTGTATGTGTTCATTGCTTTCGCAAGACTGGGCCGCAATTTGAATGTTGGCATTCGATTTGCTTGTTACCATATACATATAGAAAACTTTTTCTTCTTTCGACGCTCTAAAGTTTTTTAAAGAGTTAATTTTCCAAATAGCAAATATAGTACAATAAGTACTATGTATGGTTATACGTACATACATACATACATATGTACATATCTTCGTTACGCACCGGGCGGACTGCCAGTCCTGACTTAACTGTGTCCTTTCTCAGCATGTTGTACGCACGGTCGAGTTATCCCCGAAAAGACCGACGCTGGACATTTAATTTTGATTTATAAATCGGGACGTCCCACCAAAATTGGAGCGTTCGGCAACGCTGATATGTACATACATTTAAATTTTTCATGCAGGCGTTATCCGCCTATATACATACATACATACATATAAAAGTATGTATTAAATTTTTTAATTCAACACTAATTTGTGTCTTCAATTCCAAATATGATCTTTGTGAATGTAAAAGGTGTGTTTCTGCTATGTGCTAGAGCATCAAAACTATCGATAGTTGAATCCATCGATACAATCAATAATTCCATCGAAGTTTGAATGCAATTAACAGAAAATTTAAATAATAACATCTTATAATTTATTGAGATCAATTAGAACAAATCATATACAAACATACATACGTACATCTGCCGCAACGCGAAGCAGAATATGCGTAGGTCCGCTTTCGGTTTCTGCTTTACTATCGCTTACGCAGTCGTTGCCTAGCGACGGTAACTGTACACTTTTGGCATTTTGCCTTTGAAATTAACAGGCGTAAATGATCAAAACGAAAGAAGAAGCGCGAGCTAATGACTTGCAATTGTTGTTTTTCGTTTTAAAAATTTGATTTAAAACCATAGAACATTATTTATTACAATCAAACAACAGTGCTCGATGGTCCAATGTATACGTACATACATACGAATGTACATACATGCTATATATGTATGTACGTACACAGGCATACATACATACATATGTATGTACATAAGCATGTATGTTTCTCTTTACTTTTTCAACCGTACGTAGAGAACCGCACACATAGACACGAACTGTTGATTGTTCTGTGTGTGAGTGTGTGTATATAATGTCCCCAACTATTTGATATTTGCGTTCTTTGTAATTTGTTGTTGCTGCATAAAGTTACTAATGAAAACCATAATGCCAAATGTACTAAACAACGAAAAAATGACTTTTAAAAATGTTAAATAATTTTTTAATTAATTAACATTTTAGGCTCTGTCAGTGCAAGACGAATGAACATACATACATACATAGATGTGTACATGTACATAGATGTGTACATATGTATGTGTGTACATTCACACATTAGTGTCTCACATTTTGCTTGGCTATTTCAATCAATTGCACGCAACTACACGAACAGCTGCTTGTATGTGTGTGTATATACTTAGTTGTCCCCAACTGTTTGAAATTTTGTATTGTTTGTTCTGCCTGCATTTGTAAAATGCATATTTTAAAAACCTTGAACGCAAACTTGTAGATTTAGTTACGTAGATTACAGTCCCCAAATTTGAAATCGGTCGGAAAAAATTTATAACACAAACTTTTCATTTGAAAAGGTGAATAAATATTAAAACCCCAATAATTCAAGTTCCACCAGAAATCCGAGTATGCAGTTTTGTTTGTATTATTTTATAGAATATACAAATCAAATTTAAAGTTGATTGGTGGAAAACTGAAGATTTTTCAAACAAACTTTGGAGCTCGTTTTCCCACCTTTGGAGCTCGAATTTTCCAAAATCCCTTCTTAGTGCGCACATACACTATGATAGGATACTTGACCCCAAATTTCAGCTTTCTAGCTCTTACCGTTTGGGCTGTGGGCTGTTGACGCGGTTTCCTCTTGTGCCCCAAAAAAGCCCCAATAATTCAGTCTCCAAGAAAATATTCAAAAAACCAAGTATGCAACTTTCTTTATATATATATATATATATATATATATATATATATATATATATATATATATATATATATATTTTTTTTTTTTTTATTCAAAGTAAATATATAAAATGTTTAACCATCTACACGTTTGGGATTTTCCTTAAAATCTCTTGTAATTGGATTGATGAGGCCTCGGCGCCCTTGGAAAGTTCCGATTATTTGAATTCCTTGGTCCATAGGTAAAGTTTCTTTGCTGATGGGAGCTTGAGTCAGGATGTCCGGAGTTATAATTTGGATTATAAGGTCTGTAGTAATTAGCGCCCCGAGAATAGTGTGCTGAAGTAGTGTAAAAAAAGACATTATTCGTATGCAAAAATATTTTCACGTATATAATGTGTATTTATTATAGGTTTGTGGGAGCTGAAGGAGGGGTGGCAGACCTCACAAAGTTTATATATTCTTGATCAGCATGACGAGACGAGTCGATCTAGCCCTGTCTGTCGGTCCGTCCGTCCGTGTGTCTGTCCGTATGAAACCTGGATCTCAGAGACTACAAGACCTAGAAACACCAACTTTTTAACTAAGTTTTCTTGTGTGTACGCTGAGCAAGTTTGTTTTTTTCCCCCCAACTTGCCCGATAATGGGGTATTTCCGTAACACCGTTCGTATTATCACCTATATCACGGAAACTATATGACTTGGGGACTCCACATTTTAGTATAAATGCCTCCAATGAACACGCAGAAAATGTGTATTTTGGAATTTCCCTCCCTCACCCCTCTCTGCTGCAATTATTGATTTTCCATAAATCCCGTAATTCTTGGAATTTCGAACTCAAATGTTGCAAATACCTCCAGTTACTGATAAGTCCGTTTACCAAGTTTCATTATGATAGGCCGATTTAACAGGAAGTTATACCCATATATCTATATATGAGCAAGCAGTGGCCGCAGCTGTTGTTGTTACTGCTTTGCACGGGCACAAAAGACATACACACAGACACACATAGACATGCATTAACACGCATAGATGCAATTAGTATGTTAGTGTGCAGTTATACACGCCTTAGTTGAGTTCGAATACCAAAGGGGTTAATATGTATAAGAAACATTTTTACTACACGTACATATGTACAGAGTGTTTCAATGTCGGGAAACCCGACTTTAGCTTCTCCATTTGTTATACCCTGTACCCAAAAGGTGAAAGGGTATACTAGTTTTTTGCGAATGTATGTAGCATACAGAAGAGAGTTTGATTTTTTTGCGTTGCATCATGATTGGTCAATTCTGAAGAAAGTTATAGCCATAAATAAAATCGCTGCCCATGCTTTGCCTGCAGCTCTGCCCACAGCTCTGTCCGCAGCTATTGCTGTTGTTGCTGCTTTGGTTCAACTTTGTGATGAATTTTTAAAATAAATTTTCCTTTCTTGTTTCATATTACATTTAAGCAGTAGATCAGCAAATTTATCAAATCCGCACAAGGACACTAGATGAAAGACTCTTTCAAAGAATATAAGGGTAATTTCCTAAAAACGGGTAAAACATTCCATTTTCACAACAAGCTACTATAACGAATAATACGGTTTTGTAAAATTTTATTTTACTTACCATGTTCTTGGTTGTAGCTATAACTATTAGAATAGTTACTAGTATTGTTACAATTATTGTTGTAAGCTCTATTATATTGTATACCCATGCTGGTTGTTACCATTCGATGGGCTTCTTGTGGGAGATAGGATCTAGGTAAGCTTACGTTAAATCCTATAAATAAATTGAAAGAAATCTGTCATCCAGAAGGAGAAAGGAAAACGTGCTCTTGAAAACGCGTTATTAATTAATCTGTCTTTACCTATCATAGGTCCACGATTTTTGTGATTTTCAATAGGTAAAACTTGTGGAGGGTCCTCTGCGTTTGGAAGTCTTTTGGCAGGAAAAGTAAAGTCATCATCATATTTAGGATCCCTGAATCGCAGTGTTACAATTTTGTTGTTCATAATATCAGGTAGACCAGGTATAGGTGATTGTAGAGTGCTGAAAATAATAAAGCAAATATTACAATACAATGTTTTTATACTCGGGTCCCGTTGGGTAAAAAAGCTATATTACGTTTGTGCAAAGTATGTAACAGGCAGAAGGAAGCACCTCCGACCCCATATTCTTAAACAGCGTGACGAGATAAGTCGATCTAGACATGTCCGCCCCTCTGGATGAACGCCTGGATTTCGGAAACGGCTGAGCGCATATTAGGCATACTTGGTTTGTAGGCGTTCCTAGCTTCTACGCAATACGAGTTTATTTTAATTTTTGTATTTCCCCGCTACAGAATTTCGATTCTGTCCACATTTCAAAAGCCACGTAAACCAACCGTAACAAGGAGGAGGCGTGGCAGACCCCACAAAATATATATTCTGGATCAGCAGGACAAGACGAGTCGATCTAGCCCTGACTGTCGTTCTGTCTGTCTCTCCGTATGAACACCTGTATCTCAGAGACTATAAGAGCTAGACACAAAATTTCGCACAAAGATGCCTTATGTCTGTTTGTTTTTTCCCCCCTCGAAACCAAAGACATTTGCGATGATACCAACCGTCTTTTGCGACGCAACCACTGAGGAGGAGGTGTTACTAGCTACTCGTAGCCTGCAACTCAATAAAGCGCCGGTCGCGGATTCAATACTGATCCGCGCGCTCAAATTGGCACTGTGTATGCACCCTGGGATGCATTCTCAACGTGCTGGTGGCTCAAGGCGTATCACACCACGTCGGGAACCAAATCCCTCAATGTCGTCGCCGGTGTGCCGCCAGGGTCGCTGGGGCCGCTGCTCTAGAACGTCATGTATGACGGTATTCTCCGCTAGTGGGGTATGCAGACGAAGTAGCGATTGACAATCATCCGTTGGCTGAGCACAGTGGGTCTGGAACGAGCGGCAGGTTAAACTGAGGCATTTCTAATCAGCAGCCGCTAGGCGGTAGAGCAGACGGTAGGCTCGTGACATCCAAACAAACCATCAACTATCTAGGGGTTAGGCTGGACATGCGATTGTGCTTTCGAGAGCATTTGGAGCAGACAAATAAGAAAGCTGCAGAGGCGGCACGGGCCCTGGCACGAATTATGGCCAACACTCGGGGCCCCAAACAAGGTCGGAGGCTGCTGCTAATGAGCGTAACCAGATTATTCATTCTTTATGCGACACCGATTTGAGCTGCCGCGGTGAACAAGAAGAGTTACATCCGCGAACTCGCAGCCACGTACCGTCTTGGTGCAATCCATGGAAGGTCGACTTCCATCTGACTCAACTTTTAAGCGGCCACGGATGCTTTAGAAGTTATATCCATAAATTTGGGCATGACTCCAGTGCGGAATGCGCTGTCTGCTGAAGACGCAAATCACACAGCCTTCGAATGCGGACAGACGGAGATGGGAGGCGGAACCCCTCCCATGGCGTCAAGCTATGTGGCCAGCATGATCGATAAAGAAGACTCGTGGGCAGCGAGTGCAAGCTTTGCGGCCTCTAAATGGGCAAGCTCAGAAAACAGGAGTGAGAAAGAAGAGCAATAAAAGCGGGTCGAACATCCGGGCGAGGCAATGCCTGGACATGACATGCGTAAATTTTGATTTCTCATTTTTACTTATATTTTATACTTATTTTTATCTTATTGTTAGACGCATATACACGCATAATTGTTCTACACATATGTACAGAGTATTTTAAAGTCGGGACACCCGACTTTAGCTGCTCCGCTTGTCTTAGTCTGTAAATATACACTTCTATTAACGAAAGGTTCACTTTTTCCAAAACATGCACAGAAAGAGCTTTCTCTTGTGTTCTATCAGACCCGTTTTTTTGTGCTCCGCATTTTTTTTTTTTGGTTGTTCTTTTTGTTATACTCTGTACATGTGTACAAATGTACAAGAGTATATTAGGTTTGCGGGAGCTGAAAATGTAACAGGCAGAAGGAGGCGTGGCAGACCCCACAAAGTATATATATTCTTTATCAGAATGACAAGACGAGTCGATCTATGTCTGTCTGTCCGTATGAACACCTATATCTCAGAAACTATAAGAGCTAGAGACACCAAATTTTGCACAAAGATGCGTTATGTGTGTACGCTGTGCAAGGTTGTTCTATTTTTTTTGATTTCCCCCCACCCACTTCGCCCCAATGGGGGGTTTTCCCGATTTGCCATTCGTTAATCGCCTATATCTCGGAGACTATAAGATCTAGGGACACCAAATTTTAGTCCAGATAACTTATGTGAATACGCAGAAAATGTGTATTTTGGAATTTCCCTCCCTTCCCCCCTTGCTTTTCTGCCTGCCGTCCTGTTTCAATAAGTTTGTGTGTGCGTTTCACTGCATTTTGTCTTTTGCATCGAGTCCACATAATTGTTGTTGTACTCCCGCTCTCACAAATTTGTGTTAGAGCTTTATCTTAGCATCACTCAGCTAAGTACGGTTCTCTTTATTTCTGCCGTTTTGTTGTTTGTGCATTGCGCTCGCGCACTTTTTTTTTTCGTGTACTTATTTTTAACCCTAGAAAACTTGTTGTGGTCTGTGTCGTGCTGCAAGAAGTCTTTCACATATAAAGATGCTCTGGATTGTGACCAACTGCAGTTCATAAGCTGCTGGTTGCATGACAATATGATGCATAAAAGAGGTTGGATATACGAGCCCTAACCACTATTAATTGGTACGGCAAGGTTTTTTTCGACAGTGCAACTTTCAATGACTCATATTTATTTGTAGGCGATGATTGCTCAAACATATTTATACTTTTTAAAAATGTCATTGAATTACCTTTAATTCCATATCAAAACATGCACAAGTTTCATATCAACAAAATGAAAAAACTCAATTTAAATAAAACAACTTTCATACTACACGAAATATTTTGACCATTATTAATTGGTACGGCAACATTATATATTCATTAAAACTGAGTAACATCTCCTTTATTTTTAATAACACCCTGAATTCTCTTCTGCATTGTATTTACTAATTTTAGGCATTCTTCTGGAGTTATGGAATCCCAAATTTCCTGAATTTTTGATTTTAGTCCTGACAGAGTACGCTGTGGGTCATTCCTCAGCTTTCTTTTGATGATTGCCCACAAGTTTTCTATTGGGCTTAGATCTGGGCTTGATGACGGCCAATCTAAGACATCAATTCCATTTTCTTGAAGCCAATTTTTGGTTGTTTTTGCGGTGTGTGGTGATGCACCATCCTGTTGAAAGGTATATTCCCCACACTCAGAAAGCTTTGGTATTGATGGAAGGAGATTACTTTGAAGGATACACTTGTATTTTTCTGCATTTACAGTTCCATCTATAAAGTAAAGTTGTCCCACACCTTTGGCTGACATGCATCCCCACACCATTGTGCTCGTTGGAAACTTGACTGTACGTTTAAGACAATCTTTGTGATATGCCTCCGTACGTTTTCGTATTACTCGTTTTCGAGCATCACCGACACACACATCAAATTTGGATTCATCGCTAAAAATTATAGAATGCCAACGCCTCTGTTCCCAATTCTGCCTTTGTCTTGCCCATAGCAATCGTTTTTTCATCTGCAAAGCTGTGAGCAATGGTTTTTCTTTGGCCTAAAAACACCAACATATATTAATTGTACAGAAAAAATTATCTGTTATATGTTTTTACTTTTCCTTCATCACAATATTCTATTTACCGTTACTTGACCAGTTTTTGTTTACATTTTACATTTTTCACCGTTTTTTTAAGAAAAATAATGTTGCCGTACCAATTAATAATGGTCAAAATATTTCGTGTAGTATGAAAGTTGTTTTATTTAAATTGAGTTTTTTCATTTTGTTGATATGAAACTTGTGCATGTTTTGATATGAAATTAAAGGTAATTCAATGACCTTTTTAAAAAGTATAAATATGTTTGGGCAATCATCGCCTACAAATAAATATGAGTCATTGAAAGTTGCACTGTCGAAAAAAACCTTGCCGTACCAATTAATAGTGGTTAGGGCTCGTATATATATTTAAATGTGCCGTCCGTCGCGCCCCCTTGTCGCCGCAATCGCTTGCTCCTCTCCCATCAACTCCTCAAAACATTGACTGCTCTGCAATGCTGTCTCTGTCAACCTCTCCAGGTACTTCCCCTTTACCCTCGCCGATTACCGTTTCAGCGACCCCTATTTTTGTCCCACCCGCACGCAGCGAAGCAGCAGCGAAGCAGCAGCGGCGTCTCATAAACCATCTGGGCCTGTTTCTCGCGTTCGCAAGAATCAATGCGAACTGCCCTCTGGTGTAATGGTCAATATTGCTTTTACCTCACCTGCATTCCCTCCTTTCCTTACAGTTGTAGCGCCTTGGAAGCAACTATTTGTTTCGAGGCTGTCTGCTGATACCATCTGTGTCTTTCGCCGAAACTATTTGTGACCCAAAATTACAGCCACCGCATACGATAGTTAACGAGGTTAAACAGAAAAAACGCACTATTCCAATTCCGGTGTCCCTGCTAGTTAGTTCTTCAATACCGCCTACTAACAATTGTTCAAAAAACTATAAATTTTTCCTAAATCTCTTAGTTTAAGTTACCAAAACGTTAGAGGTATTGCATCTAAACTTACTGATTTATATAGGGATAGCTTTTCGTTTGAATTTGACATAATTGCTTTGTCAGAGAAGTGGTTTAATCCTACCATATCTGACTTTGAAATTTTGTCGAATAGCTTTATAATCTATAGACGTGATAGACCTGTTCGCCGTGGGGGTGGTGTACTAATTGCAGTTAAAACCACCATCCATCAGTTGGAAATTGTCCACCTTAATATGCCGGAAGACATTGAATTTATTTGCGTTAAGGCAAGGAAAGAGATGCCTCCCCGAGCGTTATATATCACTTGCTCCTATATTCCTTCTTCTTCTGATATTCAAGTTTATATGCTCCATATTACTGTATCAGAGAAGTATGTTCCCGCCTGCGTGATAATGACTTGATTGTTATGGTGGGGGATTTTAATTTACCAAGCAATTCTTGGTCATTCTTAATAGTTCCC